CTGAGATGTGGAGCGAGAGGGGAAATAAGTCTCTGAAGACCATGCTGGGACTGACATTTTCGAGGAGTTTTCAACTTTGGATTTTGTGTGGGCGCCAAGACCAAGATTTCGGCTAATTAGCCAGGAGGGCTTCTTTTGTCGATGAGTCAACGGCACTCCCCAGCGCCTTGGACGGTACAAAAGAAGTCGGGCTAAGCTGCCATACAGCAATCACGCTCTGTCAAGACTTTTCTGACATTTCACCACGACCTTCGGGAAGGAGGCTAGAAAGGCAGAGGGTGAATTTCCCGAGGTACCCGCAAGTCTGCAGCGCCCAGCTGGCCGGCCTCTTCGAACGCTTCAGAAGGGGCAATATGTCTTCGGATTTAATCCTAATGTCGGTATTAGGAGAGCTCCACATCCAGTGGTTTTTGCGATTTTTCCCGGCTGCTATACACCCGCAAATGGCCATCGTTTCGTTGGCTGGAGAGGGGAGATAATGAAGGGCTAAGGGCTCCTCTTAGTGTATGATCGAATGAGGACTTGTGAGGGGTGCTACTGTTTGAGGGGAGCTGTATGGGAGGTATAGGAGGGGATATACTACTGGTATAGGTATGCTTGGCCTGTAGGCAGAGAGGACCTGCATGTCCTACATAGTCATAGACTCAGACAGGACAATAAAATGAATTAATATTCTGATTATCTAAAATAATGATATCCAAAAGATTTCTCTAAGGTGTAGTTAAGGGTTTATAGAGTGAAGATATTTTACAGGGGTAATGTAAGTGTTATCTAAGATCGACATTACTTTATTGGTCTCCAGACCTTGTCCAGGGAACCTATCCTGTTATCTTTAACCCTGTAACAATTATTCTCATTCTATTGGACTATATTGAGAGTTTGAAGCTTTGCTATATGGTCCGATTGTTGAAGATCACGGGCAATATTATTGACCGTTTCACTTCAGCCAGCATAGTCATCGGCTCCAGGTAGAATGACTTGATTATCAATAATACTGCTGAATTTTTTATTAAGTTGTTTTGGGAGCATGTCGACTTTGGTACGGTTATGTAAAGGGTTTAAAGAATTCAGAAGTACTTGAAAGACGTTAACTCAATAGGAATTGATAATTTTTCCTTGGGAAACTAATCCGCCTACGACGGCTCCTGTCTTTTATGTCCTCCTCAGCGTCGCGTTTAAGCTCCCCTCCTAGTCTACCTGAGAATACTCCATTCTCCCCGGTTAACCTCTTTCCTGTGACATCCTCCCCCCCTTAGTACGTACTCCCTTGGGTCCTTCCTCATGCGCAACCTTGCAATTATCCTTATGCAACACTGAGACTCATTCTTGTGCGCAACCTTGCATTAATCCTTACGCGACACTTAGATCCCTCTTTGTGCGTATCCTTGCATTCTTCCCCATGCAACCTCTCGCGTCTCTGTAAGCGCTGCTTCGTTGGCGGTTAAAGATCTAGCCGGGTTGGTCCTAGTGACCAGTCCCAATCCGGGCACAGCCCATAACAGGTTATCATAGTTAGCTCTTTCGGCGTAGTTGTCAAAATCACCACAAGCACGTCTATCATGAGAAAGAGTGTCCAGCGCGTTTTTAGCTGACTGAGTGCTGTCTAGTAAGATATATCGGTTATCGAGTACTTGACAAAAAATTGCAGATGTTTCCCGTGGCCACTTTTTTGAGTCTCCTGGATAAAATTTCATTATTCGTACGCAATCTTGAACCGCGTCCCATGCTTTTCCTTTGAGTCGACTCGTAATGTAGGATAGTTGATGAAAACTATCTGGGAAACATTTTTCATCAATAAGCAGTACTTGTTGCACTTTTGTCTTCCAACGATCATACATCACTTGCCGCTTTTCGGTGTCTTGTTGTAGGCCGCTGAACTTTTCAGGGTCTGATCTAAAGCGACGGGTCATACTGTATATGCCGTCCTTGATCGTCGAGGTCTTTATATCCATCAAATTGACTTTTGTGTGAAAATCTTTTTTTTCACTATTTAATTTTATGATCTGATCATTCAATTGGAATACTCTGTCGATGTCAACTGAGCGCTGTGCACTTAGTTTGGCAGCGCTAGTATTCAGGTTGCTGATGTCCGTAAGTCGGGAATCAAGTTGCTAATTACTCGTTTTGATTGTCTGATTTAGATTAAGCACCTCTTGGTGTGCGAGGCCAATCAAGCCTTGTTGTTCTACAAATTAATGACGTAATTGTGTCAATTCCACATTTAGCACAGAAATCCTAATATCCCTTGCATCTAATTGTGCCTTTAAAGCAGCAAACCTGGAAACAAAACAACTGAGCCAACTACAAAAAATCACCTTCTCGGGGTTACTGTTGGTGGAGGCTATTGCACTAAGTAGGGGGACGGGATTTAAATCTTCTAGGAACTGGTATCCCTCAACTGCGGTGATTATATTCGGCCATTTTGACGGAATGCAGTAATAATCAGGGAGTTTTGGGAATTGGAAGCCATGCTGGAAAAAAATTGGTTAAATTTTTTTTGACGAGTTTTGATGTGACGAGGCAATATATAGATCTGTTGTGGTTATGAGCTATGCGGAAGTCACATTGCGGAGTGATGAGGAGTGGATGATGTTATAATTTGTGGTTGACAGTGAATAGACTCATACAATATTATGCTGTAGGTATATGGACAGAAAGTAGAAGACTAAACCTGTGTCCATTTATTGTGGGTACATCTATAAAACTATGTGCGAGATCGCCGGGTTGGATGGTGCAGTGGTACACCACTCGCGCCGTTCTCCCAGGAAGATAACGGGTAGCTTGAACACCTACCCCATACGTGACAAGAGAAAGCTGGTTCGTTTGCCGTCAGACCCTCACACCCCTCTCTCTAGCGGTCACATAGCACTTGTGTAATGATGAAATCACATCCGGCAATCCTCAAGTTTTTCACGCTTTTCCCTGAGGTGGGCACGCACGCACGGAAGAGGTTGTACGCCGTAAGTGTTAGCCTCGAGTGGTATTTGCAAATGAAATCTGAGTGTGAGTGTTCAACATGTCAAATTGAGTTATCTTACTTAAGTACATATCTTCCGATAAAAACCTGCATGGGCCTCAAGGCGCCAAATCAGGTAACATCAATTATTTATGTGCATGCTCGCCCAACTAGTACACTAGTGATGTATGCTGTGGCCTTGAGCCACACGTGATGCCTTAGCCTCAACTACCTCGTTGTCTCATATGATAACAAGACCACACAAAATTTCACAACGGTAGATCTGGTTTACTGGATTCGCAACAGGAACAAGTCACAAGGGTAAGTAATCAGGATAGCTAACGAGGATATGACTATTTTGGGCGATGGGAGAGTAAAAGAGGTGTATGTACAAGAGAAACAACCAAATGCCCAAACACTTCACACTAACTTAATATGGTGAGGGCAAGACTAAAATCTTGTACGCAGTGTCCTCTTCGAACCTGGGAGTGGAATATTCTCCCAGAGCCAAGTTCAATCAAATTTCGCAATATCAAAGAAGTTGGCCCACGACGCAATGATTCAAATTACTCCACTACGTAGTTCTTCGCTCCCAACAAGATTGGCTCCGACCCAAGTCTCATCAAGCCTATAAGTACGACTAATCACATCTTTACTCCAATGATCACACTTCCTTTCGACACTCTCTGGCCTCAATTGGTCACAAAATACACGCCCATGCCGATATTTACACCCGACGGAGGAGGCAAAGCGTGGCGCACAAATCTGGGAGACAGTTCTTTGGGATGGACACTAGAGGGATTAGGACAAGTTTACAAGATGATACAATGAAAGGTTATAAACTTGACTGGCGTGAAATTTCAAATTTTATCAATGAGTTTGACAAATTGAGCTTTGTGCGCGCCAGGACTTCGCTCGCGAGAGTGCTGCTGACACCATAAAAATATGCAGACGATGGAAGGTGTTGTGATCCGCCTCCTGGTGGTGTTTTCTGGTATAGTTTGAGTAGCCTGGGCATCAACTCCACTTGGGAAGGAGACATCTCAGATTACATTTCGCGCGGAAAAAAGTTGAAAGATGACGGAGGCATGTTTGGATAACTCAGGGTTTTTGAGATGTTCCCCTGGGTGGGTATTCACGGATGAGGGTTGACTTGGGGTGAAGAAAAAGCTACCGTAACTTTGCAGTAGTACTTGCAAATGAAATCTGAGGCATGAGTGCTCCTCTTATAAATTGAGGCATCTATTATACACTTCTCTGATATTGTGTTATAGCTAGATAGCTGCATACACAATTAAAATCTGATGCGAAATAATAAAAATAGCGCAGTCATACGAGTTCGGTTATGTCACCCTCGCTTATACTGTGGGCAGAGATTACGGCATGTTGAATTTAATTTAGGCCCAGTATTCAACTAATATCTCACCATGATGTCTAGATCTTTATAATGCACTCTCCCATACTTGGAAATTATATCCAAAAGCTACATAGGTTCATCATTGTTTTAGACGACTAAATTTACACTCAAATTTAAACATAAACGTGCCGAGCCCGTAACTATGGACCAAATCTTCGGGCATTCCCATCTTGTTGCAGCCATGACTATACACATTTTTTTATTCAGTTTGAAATTACAGGCCTCAACGCAAACTTTTGCACTGTCCGTGAAGTGAGAGAATTATACCAACATTTTGTGGAATCCACTGAGGGCTGGCAAGACGACTCACCTAACAGAATATATCACTGGTCCTTTAGAAAAGTAGATAATTGGTTGTGGAAGTTGCATGGCCAGGTGAAAGAGATAATTTAAGCACAAAATCTTAGAGCAGCTTAACCGGCTGCACGTGCGAAGCTTTATTGAATATTGTACAGAATTTTTAAATTCTACAGCGTTACAAACACGGCCATAGTCTCATTATTTATTCCTACAAGGAGAAAGTATTTCTTGAGCTCTCTTCGGCCAAAAATGTAGAAATTACTTTATGTGTTTGGTGTATGCAGGTTGAGCCTCTCTCTCGTCATCATCACCCGAACTTTAGTCTCTCTAACCCATCATCATAGGGCCTGATGCGTAGGCCTACATATTGTTAGCTGGAGGGCTTAGCTGTGATGAGAATGGCCTACCATAGCTTTAATATTAGGGTGTGGAACTGCATCGAACTTGTGGAAATGAAGTTGGTAATCGGACCCAACATTAATGTAAGCGCCTTTATTTTCAGTAGTATCGCAGTACTTGGGCGCAGAGAAAACTTGACTTTCGTCAACCATGTAAATGAGCAGGAAGAGCCTAATTTCTTACCTGTAATGCATTTTCCATCATGTTGCGCCTCATAGCCTTCCATTCTTACTTCGTGACTACGAATGATAGCATCCAATCCATTATTTTCGCAGAACCTCTTGGTCACATCTGGGCCAAATTGCATACCAATACCTCTCTTGCTCGGCCCTCGCCCTGGATCATTCTGAGGATCTGTCCACAGCATTTCCATCATTAATCCTGATTGTGCTGGCTGTCTCTGATTTAACCTATTAAGCTTTCGAATATCGTCAAGTGTAACTTTATCATCCGAGAAAAGGCCACCATGAAGTACCAAATACTTCGAACCAACTAGAGTAGCTAATGGTAATGCCGAGAAACTTTCGGAAAAAAGTCTAAAGGTGCGTTCTATAGTTGTTAGAAATTAGCTCAAAATTAACTGATTGGGCTCCATCATACCATTATATTTAGCTTTGCACTCGCCCTCGAATCCGTATAGCCGATTTAAGTCGTCTGTCTCGTGGTTGCCACGGTTGATGAAAAAACAGCTTGGGCGCAACCACTTATATGCATATAACAAAAGGGCGATTTCGGTTGACCAAGAGCCACGATCTACAAAATCTCCATTAAATAGGTAAAAGTGTTTTTCGGTGGGGAGTCCATTAAGTCTAAAGAGCTCCATCAGGTCGAAAAACTGGCCTTTCCACTGTCAGTACTTAAAACTGACCACTCCAAGCAAAGATAAATATACCATGCGTGTCCCCACAGATTGTAAGCTGAATATTGTCTGGAATTTCCATTTCAACTAGCGTTGGTTCAGCACTTAGGATTTCTTTTACTGCCAAAATAATTTGATAGACATATTTTTTATGAAGTTTCTTTCCATTTTTAAATCGATCGATCATGTTGGTGATAAATTCTGCCGTCATCTCGTTTTCAAGTCTAATTCCATCATATTCATCTTCGATTTTCATAGAGTCTAAATCTAGCCCCTCAGCTGCTGACGGCTCATCACCGACCTCAATTGCCGCAAGAAAAGCTACCCTTCTGACTATTTTTTCACATTCTGCCAGCTTTAACTTGGCATCTTTATCGCTAGGTACTTTTTTTACAACAGCTCTAAAATCTTTAAGTGCATCTTTTGGCCTTAGAATGGCGGTATACGCAAGTGCTCTTCTATAATATGCCTTGCAGGGAATTCGTCAATAATCCACTAAAAGAGAGCTTCAATTAAGTTCCACATACCTTAATAAAATTTGGATCAATCTCGATTGCCTTTGTTGCATCGTCAATGGCATAGCCATACGCTTCTGATTTGATATTTGCCTGCTATTGAGTTAATTGACTGAAAGTGATATTTTTTATTATCTTGAGCTGCACCTGAGCTCTATTGGCATAATATGCTGCCTGCTTATTGTCCAGCTCAATGGCTTTCGTGTAATTCTCTATAGCTTTCGCCCAGTCATGCGCAGAGAAAGCCTTGTTTCCTTCATTCTTGTAAGCTACGGCTTCTTCCTGGGAGGCTGTCATTGCCAAAAATTATAGATTTCTACCCAAAGAATGGATTGCAAAATATAGGTGGGGTAAACTAAATTTTATGATATTAGTTCCAGATGCTCGGGCTACGATATTACAGGGATGGTCCTTAACCACAGTGGGGTGGGTGGATCTTTATTACCCTTGTTCCGTGATCGCCTCGAGGGGATAAATATATTCCGATAGGCTGGCCAAAATCTGTGTTCTAGATTACTCAAGGTAATATTAGGTAGTCTGGCGAAACTACCTTAAATGTCGTTACTTCATCTCAGGATGACACATCCTCGTTTTGTTCAGATTATATTCCGCATTTTCAGACTGGTTTTCAAACATTGTGGAGCTTCTTTTGGAAACATTATCAAGAAGCAATTATTTGGTTGCTCAGAAAAAAATGAGGGACAGTTCGAACATCATTTCTGCCAGAAAGCTGCACAGCGCTCCATGCTACTTTTTTCAACTATTTGATAGCGTGAATCCCAATATTATATCTTCTTTACCCTCTACACATCATTTCACTTACCGTGCTACAAAACGTCGAATGTGTGTGCTGGTGTGGGTAAATCTAGCGGTTTAGACGCGTCACAAAAAGCGACAATGGCCACCGAAAATAGTGGCAGCGGAGTGCAGACATCTCCAATGGATAAGAATCTTGAAATGTTAGGGAAATTTCTAAAACAGGTTAGACTGATCGTGATGGGAGACATAGATGAGGACTTACCCTCAATGGGGCAAATGAACGAATTCGTGAAGGCATTCAACGCGCACAAAAGGGCCTGGGCGGAAATTCCCAGAAGAAGTCTCCAATCGACGAAAGGATGATGGCACTGGAGCAGATTGTAAAGAAAAGCCTTGCGTATTCCGCTCGTAATGCTGTTCCATGAATGGCAACGGGGATGCTACAATCAAGGACCTACGCTTTTGTTGTAGCTCCACAAATAACGAAGACAGCGGTCAGAATAAGAATCGACGGAGCAGAAAAATTGCAGGTCGAAGAGCTGCTGTCAAAGTCAAAAGAGCACGTCCACGATACATACGCAATTCATAAAATGCGTAGCAACGATACTGAAATGTTTGTCCAGTCGGCTTCCCAGAGAGATACGGTGCTTAAAATGCTTCAAACTGAAGAATTTAAGATTGTACGGTAAGACTTTCCAGTAGAGGTTTTTGGAGCCCTACTGAGGACAAGAATTGAAGGTGGCAGAGATGCCAACAACCACGCCATCAACGGGGAGATTGAGACGGCGACTAAAGCTCAGATTCCAGGCCTAGCGATAAATCGAAATAGGTGGTTACGTGACGGAAAGCAACACACGCAGTCAAGAAAAATGGCCGCGACTGTGGTTCAATTGTGGTTAGCCTCCTGTAGGAGGCAATACAAATGGAAGCGGTCCGAAACAGCCTTGTTATCAACGCCATGCTCTTCATAGCGTAGGTGTAGTCCCAACGAGCCCAGCCAAAGCAGTGTTTCAACAGCAACCAGTTGGGGCACATAGGTGCCGTATGAAAAGACAGCTAGGTGCTGTGAGTGCACTGGCACTCACCAAACTCGGCACTACCTGAGGAAAAGGGTTTCTTGTGCGAACTGCGGCAAGGAACATCTTTCGTGGCAGAAGGCAGCGTGTCGGGCCTATCAGGTCTACAAGAGAAGTGCGGAGAAGGCTGGGATGGAGCCTCTATCAAGAACGGCAGATATGAAATGAAAACCCTACAATGGCGCTAATGCGAACAGTCGGAATGACTGATGGTCATGAATTTACTTTGGTCACCAGTAAGAAGACTGAAGGACTCATAAGAGGGCCGGGAGGATCTCACAAGGTAATCGAACCCCAGCGGCACCATCTATCCCTGAGACAGTCGCACCACTACCAGGGCCGACTTATCGAACACTTCGATGACCAAGACCTAGCGAGAAGGTGCCCTCTCTCTATAATTTTTCCTAGCAGCTGTCCAATCGAAGGAGGAGTTAATGAAGTTTGGGGAAAGTTTATGAATTTATGGTTAAAAAGAACGTAATCAGTATTAATCCGGGTCGGTTACGAGTGACAGGACTGTGGGTTTTGTTGCTTTCAACTTTTTTCCTTAACATGATTTACCGTCTTCATATTTCTGTACATAGATACCGCATAGGGATTTAAACTAGAAAAATGAATATAGGAACAGCCCAAGGAATACGAGTTTTCTTTATTTTTGACCACGCTCAAAATGACGAGCGTTTGGTCTTGGTGTTTACTGTGCTCCTTAAGTCTTTGACAGTCTAAAATATTAGATTCCTCTATGGCCCAGGCCACACCTTTCACTGTGCTCCTATCCTCTTTTGTTACTTTTATAAGATGTATAACATGTTGCTCTGAGGGATAGCAATTTATGTAGGTAATTACAAGTATAAATCAATCTCCCTTTCGACTGAAACATTCATTCGAAAAAAAATGTAAAATTGTAGCAATAGAAACTACGTGCGCGCGAAAAATTCTCCAAAAATATGTAGCCCTAGCTAGGTAAGGTCTAGACACTGGAGCCACACGATGTTGGAATATCCAATAACACATCTCTTCCTCGTAACAGTAGAGGCCAACATAATCTATTTGGCTACCGTTGTATCGGGTGCTGAGTATGCTTCGGAAACTCATCAGATGATTACACCTCCTTAATCCAGAGTATTTGTTGAGTATAGCCTCGACCCGACAATCTGACCTGAGCCTGGCTGGCTTCATGATTATAATGCTAAAGGAATTGCCCCGAGAGATGAAGACAATGTTAACATTTCTATCTTGATATCGACCCGTACAAACATACCGTATAATAGCAACTCATATTGATACTCGGAATTGCGATGGATAGCAGAGATTGATGGTGTTTATGGCAGTGCGGGGTCTGTTAATTAGTGACAGGGATAGTACATGTATATATATATAAATATATCGCGCACTTGACTCCTCTTTAATACGATGATACTTCCGACTACATTCACAATGCCCATAACTACTCTGGGCGCCGGCAAAGACGAACTCTTCACCTTCCAGTGGTGCCGGTGTAATCGCTCAGTATGCTCTGCATATTTGGGATAACCAAGAAGAATCCCATCCGAATCGAAGTCGAAAGCAAACTCAAACACATCTCCATTTGACGACTTCTCGACAATGCCTCTCTCATCATTATTATCTGAGTTCTCAACCCATCTCTAACCATGCATCATCTCGCCTCAACGATCAATAAAGAAGTTACTCCAATTGCATACAAGAGCTTGCCCCATTAATCTCCAGCCATCTCTCACTACATATTTACGACGCTATTTATACCCGCAAAGAGGAAATCAAGTCGACAAATACAAAGCCTGGGTCTTGGCTTATGGGAGATTGTTGCTCTAATGGGACAAACAACTTGAGGAAGAACAGGCGCCTGAGATGTGGAGCGAGAGGGGGAAAAGGTCTCTGAAGAGCATGCTGGGACTGATGTTATCGTGCGGTTTTCAAATTTGGACTTTTTGTGGGCGCCAAGACCAAGCTTCCGGCTAATTGGTGAGGAGGTAGCGGCACTTCCCAGCGCCCTGGACGGCACAAAAGAAGCTGGGCTAAGCTGCCATACAGCAATCACGCTCTGTCAAGACTTTTCTGAAATTTCACCACGACCTTCGGGAAGGAGTTGGAAGGAGGCTAGAAAGGCAGAGTGAGAATTCTCCGAAGTGCCCACAAGTCTGTAGCGCCCAGCTGGCCGTCCTCTTCGAACGCTCCAGAAGGGTCACTATGTCTTCGGATCTAGTCCTAATGTCGGTATTAGGAGAGCTCCGCACCCAGTGGTTTTTTGCGATTTTTCCCGGCTGCCATACACCCGCAAATGGCCATCGTTTCGTTGGCTGGAGAGGGGAGATAATGAAGGGCTAAGGGCTCCTCCAAGTGTATGATCGAATGAGGACTTGTGAGGGGTGGTACTGTTGGAGGGGAGCTGTATGGGAGGCATAGGAGGGGATAAACTACTGGTATAGGTATACTTGGCCTGTAGGCAGAGAGGACCTGCATGTCCTACATAGTCATAGACTCAGACAGGACAATAAAATGAATTAATAATAACTACTCTGGGCTAATCATCCCTTACTACATCGGTCCTATCTTCTAATTAATGCCCTTTTCACCCTTTTATCTTAAATGACAGGTCATGATATTCTTCGTCTTGCTGGCCATCATCGAGCTCAGAGTTATGGACTGATTAAATCTTTAACAGACAATACAGTCTGCAAAAGCGCTTGGGAATCTTCATCAAAGTGGAAACTATGTTACTGAATCTCAGCTCTGTGGACTCTAAATTAAGAGCTGAAGGTCCGTGGGGAATACCACTGATAGGTGCTGAGATTAGTTTTTTTTGGAGGAGGTTCGCTCTTCGTGCGCGCTTCCGCATCTTCAATGAGTCTGGAAGGGCTGCAAAGCTCCAGCCTCGTTGCAAAATCCGGCAGTGTTATTGCTGCCTTGCCAACACTACCATGTATTGAAATGTATAACCCACTAATTAGTTCGTGGACTTGCTGGTAAAGGGAAGCTTATGCAATAATGAAGGATAAAAGGATGTCAATTCGACTATTGTACTAAACACAGGTATCAGACTCCTTTTAATCCCAATAGATAGCCCGTGCGGGATATCCTATTAACAGCAGTAAACAACGCTAGCACAGGGTATACGCAATCTCCATTTGCCAAACACCAGTTGGTCGGGACTACTAATTATCGAGCCTAGTAGGATTGACAAAGTGTATCCCAACACAGAAATAATAGAAAACTCAACAACCAAATCCTTCATCAATTACTTCCATTAACCATCACCTGACTTATCTCTGTACTCCACAATTTTAACACCATCCGTGGTTGCTCCCGCGCTCCAGTCTGCTGGAACTGCAGATCAAATATGCATTCTGAATCAGAGTGCTAGGCCCTCACTAGATATTGAGACTGTGGGGGTCCTCGCCAATTGGTATGTCGGGACTGTCTAGCCAGATCCAAAAATCCGAA